ACCGCAGCGGTGTCTGACAGCCACAAGATACGCGCGTTATCATTACTGCTAGCGCTGGCCTGCGAGTGGCTATGAGTGGCACCTTTTTATGTCCGTGTATGAGACTTCAACACTAGCAGCATTCCGACAGGCATCTTCGATGTTACTGCGAGATGAGGCAAAGAGGAGGAATGCACATAAGCCGTGACTATCACAATAATGATTAGCGAAAGGAGAGACGCACTGTGCTTCGTCAAGGATGACCACGTTGCCTTCCAACTCTATCCCGTAGGTGCCCCGTACCCCTATCATTACACCACCAAGGGCTAAAATTCAGGCACCACACCGGCAAGACGATCTGCCACCACGATTGCCGTACCGGGATCGATGAGGTGATTGTAGGGACAGAAGACCAGGTCGGCCTTCTTGCCGATTGACCGCGCGGCGAAATAGGGACACGCTGCGCCACGCAAAAACAGGGCGTAAGGTAAGAGTAGAGCGGAGCGGTTGGGTATCAGTTGGTCAGGGAGGGCGTGGTGGCTGTGCCTTTGAGATCGCTGCCCAGCGCAACCAGGTCCTCGATGTCCCACACCTCGAGCTCACCGCCCGGCTGGAGCGCCGCGTCGTTGATAAGGGCCTTCTTGTTTTTCTTGTACGAGCAGCCGCAGCCTTGTGCCTGTCTTGCGTTCAACCGCTTGCTTGTGGTGGTACAAAGGCAGGTTCGTCAGAACAAAGCACATCTGCACAATTAGGTGGCGCACTCACCATTCGTAGCTTTTGTGAGTGCTCTTTGACACGCGCGGGTGAATGCAGTAGTGATCGCGACTCGCTAGTACGCTGATCGTTGGTCGATAGGCCGTTCGCTCCAATTCCCTGCGCAGTTGTGCGATCTGGCTGTGCGTGCGACTCCCAAAGAAGATCTGCACCAGGTGCGCATCAGCGAGTCGAGAGAGGCCGTAAGATGGTGTTGCTGCGCCCCACCCTGGCATGTGTGGTACGCACGCGAGGGTATTTGGCCTCTTCCTCCGCTTCCTTCTGCATCTGTTGTCGGTGTCGGTCAAGGGAGGGGAATGCCTGGACGACATCCTCTTCACTCAGCTCCACCTCGAGCTTCGTCCGCTTGCTGGCCTGCGCTTCCTTGGTTCTCTGTATGTACGTTGAGTCAGTAGAGAAAGCTGTGCGTAGCGGGAGAGAACAACGCGAACCTGCAGAGCAGCAGCCTTCTCCTTCTCTTGCCAGGCGAGGGCGGCACACAGGAGGGATAGAGTCTTGCCGGTACCTGTGGGCGACTCGAGCAGTGCATGCTCGCTCTGTTTCAAACCTCGTATCAATCTTGAAAGAGCTGCGAATTAGTGCCGAGAGATTAATCTCATCCTTCACGTCTCTCCACCATGGCCGATTTGCAGGCCCACTCCGTACCGGTCCATCATGAGCAGTTGGCTGGGGTAGGGCGTGAAGGGGAAGCGAACGCTGTAGCCGCCGATGAGCATCGTTTCGCCTCCTACGATTTTGTTGGGCGGGGGGGCTGTCGAAGTAGGCAGACCCAAGCGGGAACTCTTCCGCTTGAGGGAAGAGCCTCCACCATCCTCTTCCATCAGCATCTCCCGCCTCCGATTCCAATTCCCTTCTTTTCGAGCCCTTTCGAGGAAATAATCCAATATGCACGATTTTATTTTCTTTTTATTTATTTGCCACGGCTGCTTGGACGAAAGGAGCTGTCAATGACAATGGTCAGGCCTTTTGCAACAGTAGACATTCTGTGTATGGTTTGTAAGGGCCTATGACATTGCCAATTGGATGGATGGTGTTGTGGCAACTCTTCCTGTCCTGCACTGCTGGCTCTGGCCACAAGGCTCAGGAGGAGGCCTTCTCCAGATGGTGCAAGGCCATGATGCACCTGTGCCCTAATGTGGCTGGTTGTCATGGTGGTGGTGTGTGCCCATTCCAACCTGCTGCAGACCTGCACCAGGGTCCTGTTGGTGTTGGACAAAGTGGTGGCCCTCATCCTCAGGCCTGCCTCCATGGTGCTGTGCTGCTTGACTGTTGACACTTGTGTCTTTGGTGTCACGTATGTCTTCATGCCCACTTGAGCCCATGTGGTGGCCAATGAGGCCCTGTGAGATGTGGATGTGCTCCTGGCCAACAGCACCATGCACCACATTGCCATCTCCTACCACTTTATGGTCAAGATTGCTTTGTTGGTGTACATCATGAAGAGGTTGACATAGGCTCAGTGTTGCCCTTCCTCCTATAGTGTGGCATGTCATAGAGGAGTGGTCTCACTTCCTCAGCATGGGCCTCTATGAAGACCTTGAAGCCTTGAGTTGATGAAGGGGACAGTGGTCTCTGTGTTGAGCAGGGAAGCAGTGGCCCACCCCTCAATGTCTGTGACCACCAGGGCAGCTACCCTGACCTCCACCTTTAGCACCAGTGCATCCCTGGCCTGGACAAGCGCCTGAGCTGACAGCAATGGAGAGATCCAATGCAGTCCATGTAGGTGCTCAATAAGCACAGTGTACTCATGCTGGTCTAAGGAAGACACTAACTGCATGTCCCCAACTCTAGCTGAGTCATCTCCATGCCAACTGTCACATGAAGAGGGGAGCCACTTTATTTGGGTTGCAACAAACTGTGTTGTTCTGGCTTCACCAAACAACTACAGTTAGGATGATGTAGGTGGGTGAGAGCCAAGCACAGTCATGAAAGTCAGATAAAGAAAGTATGGTTGAGAAGGTATTTATACTCCCATAGTAAAGGAGAGACCACAAAACTACAGGGGGCATTCCTGCCTCCATTCTGCACCAAATCCAACAGCGCCAACTCACTCATCCACCTTCAATAAAGCAAGTAATCAGGCACCATCATGAAGCATCTGCACAGTACATCAGTTGCACTTGCCATACTCTTGGCAATTATGGTCCTGGCCACCACCTCCTCAGTTGAGGGCTCCTCACATGCTCTCATTGGGGCCTTGCCTCAGTTGCTGGGCATGGCTTCCACCTCTGTGGGTGGTGCCCACCAGCATGCTGTTGGTGAGAGGCAGTCCCCCTACAGCACAACCCCCATCATTACCACCAATGCCAAATGTCCCACCACCTACACCAAGTCCTATTGGGCCATCAATGGCAGCCTCTCCTACCTGCTGGGCTCATGGTCCAGCATTGGCTCCTTCAGTGTTGTCAACAAGACCATGGGTGTGATCATGCAAATGCTCAAGGTGAACAACACCTGTACTATAACTACAACACCAGCACAGGTGGTCTCTACTGGGTTGACAACTTCCTCATTGTCAGTTACCTCTCACCCAGCCCAGCTGACTACTTTGACCACTACCTCCAGGGAACCAGTGTCACCTGCACCCACCAGACTGAGACTGGGAGCTTTGTCAGCAACATGATGGGTTCAAGAAGCAAGGCAAGATGGTACATCACAGTCCCCCATTGTTTTTTTATTATTATTACTAACACACAACATCAAGAGTATTGAAACATCACACATGATGTCCTTGTCAGGATACATACCCCTTCTGCTTTTGAGACAAGATACTGACAAGTGTGCATGTGCAGTGGTGTGTGTCATATGTGTGTGTGTGCATACTCATGAGAAGGATGCTGTCGTTTGATGACAAATGTGCTTTAAGAGACTTGTAAAGAGTAGGAAGCCCTACATGGTATGTGCAGCTGTGAGATGGTGGGTGATTTCCATGGCATATGACTTGTGTGCTTACAACTCAGTGTGCTTGGTGAGATTGGGTGGGCCAACACACTCATAAGCTCCAGTATGTCTCAGAATAGTTTTCATTCTACATTATCTACAACAGTGCACAATCATGGTGTAAGTGCTGGCAAGCTGTACAACAGTACTATGTCAGCCTACTCTTGGAGCATACAGAGCTTGGGCAAGGGCTCAAGACTGCACATGTGGCTTGCACATTGGCCAATGCATGGTGTGACAAGGAAGGCCAACACTGGACTGTGACTGATGTGGTGAATTTCTCCATGAGGCCCATCAAGCTTGCTGCTGGCACCCTGCTGGCAGAGGCTGAGTGAGTTGAGGAGGACTGGGTGTGCTCAGTCATCAAGCCTGGTCTGGAGTTGATGGAGGGCAGTCCTGAGGCACTGTACCAGGATGCACTGAGCTGGGAGCCCGTGGTGGCTGCCACTGACACCATGTGCCATGGCATGTTTGAGTTCATGGTGATGCCATTTGGGTTGACCAATGCACCAGCTAGTTTCCAGCATGACATGGACATTGTGCAGTGGACCCAGAGAAGGTAGGCGGTCCAGGACATGGTGTGGCCAAGCAACACCACCAAGGTGCAGGCGTTCTTGGGCCATGCAATTACTACCACCAACTTGTGCTGGTGTTTGTGGAGGTGGCAGAACTGCTGTATTGGCTCCTGCAGGTGGAACCGTTTCAGGGAGTGGCATGGTTGGAGGAGTGTGAGGGTGCCTTCATGCACTTGAAGGTGGCACTGACATCCATGCTGGTCCTCATCTTCCCCAATTTCAAGGCACCATTCTACCTCCATACCAACACATCCAAGCTGGCCATCATGCATGGTGCTCTCACACTGGACCCCAGACAGCAACAAGCGCATGGTGGCCTACACAAGTCAGCACCTGTCAAAGTTGGAGAGAAACCAAGTGGGAGAGTCTGAGCATCATTTATTGGATCAAATACTTTCATCAATACCTGCACAGGAGTCATTTCCACATCAGTCCTTGGCACCTGCACCCAGGGCCACTGATGTTGTGAGACCTGGTTTCCACATTTCTTGGGAGGGGGGTACTGTACATTCTGGTGGCCACCTGTGGTGTGCCTGGAGCATGTGCACCAGAGCAAGGCACAGTGAGAGCTTGTGTAAGCCTCATGCGCGCGACGTTTTGGAGGCAACCAACCAAGAAGAAGAAGACGAACAGGACTCCTTTCCTCTTCATCTTCACCTTCTTTCTTGGGGAGAAGCCTTACTTCACAACAACTTTTCTCAACTCACAACGAAGAAGACAAACATGGGAGGGAACACTGTTCTTCTTCTTCTTCCTTCTTGTGGTCAGGCAGAGACCTCCGGCTGGATGGCCCCGTAGTAGGTGAGCGATGTTGTAACAACATCAAATGTCTGCGGACCTTCATGAAACTGTTGTTGTAGAGGAGGAGGAAGGGGGGGGTTGGTAAGACAAGCCTCCTACACATGTTCATCCTCTTGCTCCAAGTAGCAGTAGGACTAGGAGGAGGAGTACCAGGAAGAAGAAGTGCAACGCTGTTGTCTGACCCCTGTACTGCACCTCGCGGCTGCGGAAAGGCATGGTGTAGTTGCACCAGGCGCTCGTGGAGTTGCATGGGAAGGTGGCCTCGAGCGAGTTGACTTGCCCCTTCCTGCTCTGGCGGACCAGGAGGAGCCCGCGCACGCCCGTGGCAAAGTTGGCCTGGCCCTCTACCTGCAGCAATGTTGGAGAGCTGGTGAGGATTGACTTGACTTACTTGATTGCAGTCATCACAAGTAGAGTTGTTGTGGTAGTAGTCTGTGTTGTACACACACACCTGACGAACAGCAAACCTCAAGAGGTACCACTCGTCCGCTGGGTAAGGTGACTGACGATGGGGTAGGTCCGGGTAGACGTTGAACCCATGGCTTGTAAACTGACAAAGCAACAAGAAAGTGTCAATAAAAGTTTGTAGCTCCACACTGGGCAGGGACTGGCCTACATCTTCCCTTGTCCTTGGGATGTGCACACGGAAGCTAAGAGGCGGTTTGTAGTCGTTCCCGAGCTTGTACTGCATTGGACATGGTTGTAGAGTTCAGACGGATTGATGGATGCGAGCAAGGAGGGATCATGACAGTACGTTGGTGGTGATGTTGCTTCCTTTAGTGCCCCACCAGCTGTCCACCTTGAATTCTAGGGTCGTCTGCGCCGCCGTTGGGCCAACACTGACGCAGGCCACCAAGAAGAAGAAGAAGAGCAGCGTGGTCTCTCTCCTAGCACTTGGCATCTTCGTGTGGAAGGGAATGCGCTAGAGGGATTAAAGAGGGGTGTTCCTTCCGTCTCGGCCGTAGTAGTACTACACTTTGAATTTTCACTGAACAAGGTGCTATAAATAAAATCCTCTCCTTGATTGGTTGGTGTCAGCCAATAGGAATTTTAAAGTTTGGCATTGGGCAATTTCAGAGGCACCATTGTGAAATTTCAAAGTGAAGTACGGTCCTTAACAACGGTGTGACTTCTGCCGGAGGCCACTGGATGGAGGCCGTCCACTTGATTGGTTGCCCTTTTACGGCATTCCTCGAAGTTCACAAGTGAGCCAAAAAGAGGCAACGGCTGAGGCCCAAGAATGGAAGGAATTGCTACAATGTCTGGAGCGAGTGGGCTTGGCGATGGTGGCGTTCATCGCAGGCCGCGCTCTACGATGTCCTCGCCCGACGTGGCGCTCACGCCGATGATGGGCACCGTCTGCGCCGTCAATGGCGAGCGTAGCGGCATTTTCACCACACGCCGAGGACGGTGGCACCCGCAACGAGCCAAAGCAGCCACTCTGCAAGCAAACCAAACAAGCAATACGAGCGATTGACCTTTTGCGCATTCGTTCTTTATTGGTCTATGAGAATGAGACATGTGCGGCACCGCCCATGCTTACGAGCGCATCGGCCAACACCACGCGTCCCACCAGTCGTCAACCTCTTTCATGGGCCACTCTTCCCCAACATGATAGCGTTGGCGCAAAATCTCGGGCCAACTCTCGGGCGGACTTATTCGCATCCGCGCAGCCTTTGCACTGGCTCATACGCTCAGATGCTCTCAATGCATTTAAGGGCAGGCGCAGCTTGTTTGCCCCCCCGCGGGCACGAAAAGTGTTTGTGGTGCCAATAACAAGCAACGATCGGCGTGCCGTTGCAGTCACACTGCACTTTGCAGCCAAGGCGCTTTGACCAAGTACAAAAGCAGTAACTGCCCCAAACAATGGGGATCGACATCAGACATATGCTCTGGGGCCAAGAAGCCGCGGCCGACCCACACGCCTGGATTGGCAAGCACGGCACGTACACTGGCCCCGACGGCTACCTGCGCGTACCACAGCAGACCCTACGCCACCAAAGTTCTGGTCGCCGAAGCGTTCAACCCCGAAAAAGACTGCTGTGCGTCCATCGCGGCCGAGATGCTGCGGGCCCGTCTGCCCCAAGTCCTAGAGATAGTCAGGCAAAAGAATGCCGCCTACGGCAGCCGCGCGGTCGACATTGCAACCCAAGAGTATATCGACTTTGTAAAGCTGGCCAAAGACGCAAACATGGTGGCCGCTGTTTGCAAGCCCTCTGCGTTAGCATATTGTCGAATTGCAGACTACATCGTGTGTGTACAAGACTACGTGTTCGCTCTAGGTAACCACCGCTGGCATGCGCCCTCTGCCAAAGTCAGAGCTTGGCCTCAGGGCCTGCATCTTGGGCTGTTGCGGTATTGTTCCGAGTTACGTCACACACCAGCAACAACAACGACAACTGCCTCATGTCTGTTGATATGCCCTTGGCTGCGAGTTCAGGAGCCGCGCTCATGGCCAGCCTGCCGCTCGAACTGCTGGGCACGTTGCTACGAGTTGCCTGGCCCTGGTCGTGTGTCCTTTGTCATGTGTGCTCCGAGTGGAACGAATGGCAGCATAGCGGGCGACAAAGTGCAGCAAGCATCAGCGCCCGCTGCAACCTCTGGTTGTCAGTGTCTCTTTCTCTCTCACACGACGTTTCACCTGGCAGGTTGTGCAACGCGTGTGGCATTCGGTACAAGAGGCTAAACCAACAGACCCCCGTAGATACACGGCGACGAAGAGAAAGCGAAGATGCCGACGCATACGGCCCCTCTTTGCTCAGTGGAGGACAAGTCCATTTGTGTGGCAGCATTGCCTCCTCAATTGATCTCGGCCCTTGGAAGACAACAGAATCCAAAAAATAAGAACCTTGGCCCAAAATCTCACGAGTGTGATCAACCCGCATTCTTCTCATCAACCCGCTCCTGGCTGTGGTGGCTCACTTTTCTTTTCCACTGGCCCATAATCACGCCGATGGGTGGCAACTGGTACACCCCGAGCGCTTGGTACGGCGTCAAATACTCCCACTATCAGGTGCTAGAGTTCCTCCGCGCTCAAGCCCTCACTGCCGTCACTGGCGAGGACAACCAGAGTGCCAACAAAAGGCAAGAAGAAGGGCACACTGACAGCCAGGCACACAAGTTGCTCCCTGCACAATCCCCTGGCGCAGCAAGCGAGGAAGAGTATGTCAATGATGAAGAGAAGGAAGATGCAAAGTGCGCCAGCGACAACAAAGAGGAGGAAGAGGACACTGATGACATGGATGGAAGGTTCTGGGAATTGGCGCTTGCACTTGAACCCAGTCTTGTGCCAGATTGCTCCGTTGGCTGCAAGGCCCATGAAGCCTACTTGAGATGTGAGCACCACAGCCATAAGGACAGCCTCTTCTACATCATCAGACTAGAACTGGAGGAAAGCAACCTGACAGCTGCCAACTTGGCTAGTCTGGACACCAATCTCAAGCCAAGACTTGCACAGCTCATTGCTCATCTTGACACTTTAGTGGGAAAGCCCGACAGCGTCATCACACCCTCTGTTCATATGGGCGTTTAGACACGGGATGAGAAGTAGTCCCAATAAAACACCACAAGAGTTCAGGGTGGATGTTATGGTGCCCGCCTCCATTTTGCTTGGTGCGCGCTTCTCAAGCATGATGCGCCTACAAAGAGAGAGAGAGAGAGACATACAATGAACAACAGAAAGAGGCGATGGAATTACGCGCTGGATGAAGACAACAAGATCGAAGTGAAGCGGGCCAGCGAGTTGGACGACATCCTCTTCACTCAGCTCCACCTCGAGCTTCGTCCGCTTGCTGGCCTGCGCTTCCTTGGTTCTCTGTATGTACGTTGAGTCAGTAAAGAAAGCTGTGCGTAGCGGGAGAGAACAACGCGAACCTGCAGAGCAGCAGCCTTCTCCTTCTCTTGCCAGGCGAGGGCGGCACACAGGAGGGATAGAGTCTTGCCGGTACCTGTGGGCGACTCGAGCAGTGCATGCTCGCTCTGTTTCAAACCTCGTATCAATCTTGAAAGAGCTTTTGCAAATTAGTGCCGAGTTTCACTATGGCCGAGATTTGCAGGCCCACTCCGTACCGGTCCATCATGAGCAGTTGGCGGGGGTAGGGCGTGAAGGGGAAGCGAACGCTGTAGTCACCGATGAGCATCGTTTCGCCTCCTACGATTTTGTTGGGCGTGGGGGCTGTCGAAGTTGGTAGACCCAAGCGGGAACTCTTCCGCTTGAGGGAAGAACCTCCACCATCCTCTTCCATCAGCATCTCCCGCCTCCGATTGCAAATCGCTTCTTTTCGAGCCCCTTCGAGGAAATAATTCGAATAAGCACGATTTTTTATTTTCTTTTTATTTATTTGCCACGGCTGCCCTTGGACGAAGCTGGTGGTCCACAACGTTCTTAGGCAGGCGCTGGAATGGAAGAGGGAGAAAGAAAGAAGAAGAGATGAGCTGCTGATGTGACGACGGCGAGCTAGGTGCCTGGGGGTGTGGTGCGTACCGCCAAGAGCCTCGGGCATTCGTTCGATGGAGTACTTGTGCTGCGAAATGTACATGATGGGCACGCCGGGGATCTTTCGAATTCTTCTCTTCAAGTCCTTATCGCAAGTGGCCACGATGTAGCACTGGAAGAACACGACACGACACACGCAGGTATATGTATGTTAGTTCAATGTACATGATTGAGGCACGGTTGCTCGCAAAAGTGTGCAAGCCTTGTCTTCTTGCCCTCTGATACCTTGTGCATGTTTACTCGGCTGACGAGGCAGTCATCGGCGTAGGTACCCTTGTGGCTGCATGTCAGCCGTTCAAATCGCGGATCCTTGGCCACTCTATTGTTTGAACAGATCGATCAGCATTGGTTGTACAGCAAGAACTCCACCGCTGTTACACACAGGGGAGAGGTGTAGTGAATACCTGAGTGCCACCCTGAACTTCTTACCCAGCTTCTCCAACTCGGCCATGACGCAGTCGGTGATGCACGGAATGCCTGCACACAAGACAAAAAGTGAGCCATAGGCTTACATAGAAGAAGAAGAAGAAGAAGACAAGGTGGCCAGCGTACACTTGGCAAAGAGGCAGTCCATCATCGCGGAAACGATCTCGAGCTTGTTTTGGATGGAGAAGTTGATGAAGTTGGTATCGAGCAGCACGTAGTAGGGCGGACCCAGCTGCGCGTTGTATTTGAAGAAGAGAGCAGAAGAAGCCTTGGGGCTGCATGTCAAGAGAGCGAGTCAGTACGACGGCTTGCTGGGTGGTTTAACGAGTTGTTTGGAATGGCAACGTACACCGTCTTGACTAGCTCAGCATCCTTCTTCTTTTCTTTCTCTTCGTCTTGCTTCTTTTGTGCTCCACCTTCCTTGTGCTTACTGCACGGCGGCAATCACGATTTCATGAGAATTGTCAATCACGCGAATCTCAGAAATTTCAAGATTAATGAAATAAGGCAAGCGTACACGCGAGCATCCTTCGGGCTGATCATGCGCTTCACCTCCGCAAACTTCCTCGTCTTCTTGATTTTACCCATGATGCTTCAATTCGTTCTTCTGTCCGTTGGTGGTTTGCTTCGGATTGGAACGCCGCCGCTTCTCCGGCTCGCCTTGCCGCAGTCTTTTCTCTCCTTTCTTTTTCCGGGAGCGGCCGCCGGATTTATCCCCCGGCCCCCTTGGCGAGCTCTAATCTTGATCCAACTTCCATCTTACCTGCCGCCATGTACAGCCAGCGCCTTCTTGGCAGCCGCTCCACGGCGGTGGTATGCACTCGGACACTTTCTCCCTTCTTCCACTCAATCCGCATTGCTCCGGCCAATCTCACTTTAATTGAATGGATTTTAATTTACTCTGCAGCCCTCCCTTGCTCGCACGCTTCCTTGGGCTCAGACCACCGGTCTGCGGGCAGGTAGATCTACTCGTTTGCGTTCTTTGTCCATTTCGTTCAAATGAATTTAGAATTAATTCAAATTGTTTTGAAGGCGCGAATGGAGCCACTCCCCTGGCTATTTTCCCTTCGGCCCAGCTCGAGGCGCAGCGTGAGACGCGACGCATCCCCATCATGCAGAAGTGGAGGGCTGGCGCTATCAAGACCAGTACTACTCTCCCCTCCTTGCACCATCTCCCGTCCACTACTTGTTGAGTCGTTGGGCAGCACGCTCACGCTCGTATCGTGTGCAGGGGACCAGGTGCACAAGAAGGCCGAGCGAACGAAGAGGAACCAGGAGCGATGCGAGTACCAGCGGGTGAAGCTTCACCTCAAGCAGGTCCACACTTCACCCCACGCGCTGGCACTCATGAGATGAAGTATTGACGATGCTGGCTCTGTGTCATGTCGTGTCGTGTCGTGTGTCGTGTGTTTTGGCGCTTGATCTGCACAGGGAACGCTCTATGAGTACGTCGAGGGTAAGACCGCCGATGAGGAGACCAAGCGGAAATGGTTCCACCAGCACTTCGGCCACGTCCAGCCCAAGAGCAGGCTCGCCGAGGAGGTCACGACCGGCTCCTCCTCCGAAGGCGCCAGCAGCCCGCCGCCCCAGCAGCAGTCCTTTGTCGATCTCGATGCCGGTACGCCGCCCACGCTCACTACGCCATGACATGATCATGCCTGGTGGTGGTGGTTGTTGTTGATGGTGTTGTTACTTACCCACGGCTGCTCGTTTAGAGTCAGTGCGAGTGTCCCAGTAGGTTTTTCCGGACCACGCGTGCAAGAAGAAGACCAGCCACAAATACAACGAACGATGCGTCATGTTCTTCAATCTCAGAGCCTGAGCTTGCGAGTCTTTACACTTACCAGGGCTGGGCTGGGCAGACGACTCGAGGTTTCCTATGTTCACACCGGCACGGGCGTCTCTTTGTGAGGTCTTTACTCGTCTCCGGCGGGATGGTCGCCGCGGGGCGGGCAGATGGTCTTCCACAGGCTGGCCGGAGGGATCTGCGCCTCGTGCGGGAGGAACGTTCGCTCGGGGTAGAAGACGTAGTGGGTCGGGTAGTTGAGGAAGTTCTCCAGCTTGCTCGTGTACACCCGGCAGTATCGCTGCAGCAGATACGCAAAGTGCGACGCTGTTGATGTTGTGTGCGGCGTGTGCGGTGTGAGCGAACGGCCACACAGTGCAAACGAGGTGACTCTCACGTACCATGCTTGTGCGTTCGGAAGGCGCTCCCGAAGGTGGGGTTCATGCAGTTCTTCAGGTCTGCGCGCGGCCGTCATCGTGAGCAAGAAAGCGGCGATGGGTGAGCTGGGTTGGGGCGAAAGTGTACCCTTCCTCAACCGTATTCGGTGTTGCCGGAGGGCGAAAACGACCTCCTGCGACCACTCCCCAGATATAAACATGCACTTCTTCATCAAGCGCTCGACCTGCACCCGAGGAAGGTCAATGCTCCAGGCCCGCTTCACTTGGGCGCCATATGATGAGTGGGGAGGTTACCTCCAACAGCTCGGCCAACACGGATCTGTACACGCTAGAGTTCTGGATTTCCACCTCCTTCTCCAGCTCTGCAGGAAACACGTGTGAGGAAAACAGATACACACGCGAGCCTAGGAGCAAGGAAAGGTAAGCTTGCCTCGAATGATGACTCCCGTCTTCCAGCCGGCGACCGATGAGGGCTCCTTCAAGTCGTGGAAGATGTGGTCGCCAAAGTAGAGGACACGATCGCCCTTCCATCCGGTGAGCGCAATCAATTGCTGTGTGCACCATGATGAACACAACACACACACACAAGAGAGAGAGAGAGAGGAGAAACTGTCAGCCTCTCCGCGAGTCCCGGCGCAAAGAGTGATGGCAAACATAGACGTACGTTGAGCGAGCCCTCGACCAGCACTTGGCCTGAGTAGTTCTTCGGGTTGGGTCTATCCCAGGTCACTCTGCCGGTAGCAGGATCGTACACTCTGAGCAGATACAGAAGGATGAGACACTCAAGCCAGGCCAATAAGAGGAAGCCGTCGACGCACCGGAACGGGCGATTGTGGAGGAAGAACGACGGCTTGCGGCAGCTGGTCATCACCAAGTCGAACATCTCCGTCCAGTGCTTGACTCCATTGGGCAGGTGGCCCTGCAGCAGGAACTCCATTCCCGCGTTGACGAAGTCGAACGGACTGTTCGTCGCCAGGAATAGCTGGATGGTAGGCAGCATATGATTAATATCACAACATTTGGCTGTGCAGCTGCATCGCTGTGCAAGAGGTTCGTCGCTGCACGTAAGAAAATTCGATCGTACCTGCCGGCCGGCCTCCTTTACTCGCCACAGGGTCTCGCCCAGGGCCGGATTGGCGTTGAGGTAGACATCCAGGTGGTTCATGATTTCGGTGTGCAGCAGGCGCGAGGCGTGGACATGCTGGATAGCCTTGCTGACGTCCTCGTAAACATAGGCTGTGTTCCAGCACCACGGTGGATGGTCCGGTCAGGCAGCGGTGTGTGTGTGTGTGTGTGTGTGTGACGCGAATGAACTTGAGCACGTACCAGGATCGAATTCAGTCTTTCGATCCGCGAGATACTGAATGATGTCGGCGATGAGGCATG